TAATTAATCTGAAAACTGGTGACGGAGTTTTAGATCCGAGATCCAATAAATTTACGACTTCTCCAAGGGGTCTCCTGTCGTCCACCCAATACTGAATCTGTTCATTCTCAACAAGCTCGGCGGAAGCACAAGTGGCTGAGGATAGTTTCGCTTCGTGAGTCATTTCTACCACAACTTTGTCACCATAGAGTACCGAGAGTAGCGCGAACAGACTCAATTTTTTGATAGTCTGATCCTTGTTATACGAATTAACGTAGTCATCATATTGAGAAAACACCGCCCCATAATTCAAATTTTTTTCTGCGGAAATAAAAGGCACAACTTGCGCTGCCCCCGTCTTCAATTCTTCAACAAAGATATCAAAATTTGTCAATAGTGAATCAAAACTAGCTTTTGCTTTGTCGTCAAGTTCAAGCAGCTTCTGAAGTCCTTGACGAGTCATCACTCGATTAAACCAGTGTAAAAACAACACATTTTTCAATTGGATAGCATCGACTGAATTACTTGACATTGCATCAACCAGAAACGTGGCCAGTTCGAGGTCCGAGAAATAAGTTTTTAAAAGTTCAATTGGGTCAAACGAAGGCTTGGAGTACTTATATGAAATTTTTGAAAAATCTATCCATTTGTAGATATAGTGCAAACTTTTTGATGGAAATTCCAGTAGCTCAACGATAGATTGTGGTTTTTTATCTCTTTTCACCCAGAACAGCGTTTGTTTGGTCTCGAGATCCTTAGCGATCTCTGGACAATACGAATGTGCTTTGTCGATCATCGCCAAGAGTTTTTCATCCTTAAAGCGAGACGTGAGTAGCGGAAGCAAGCTCAATTTCTTTGTTGGGTTTTCCGCATTGTACAAACGAATGTAGGTGTCATACGCTTTAATGACCGGGCCGTACAGCTTTTCGTCGGTAGGTTCGGATTTTAACAGATCGCATTCGAGTTGTGAAATTTTATTTTTCTCACGCCAACCCTCTAACGTTAACATTTTTTGCGGAGACGAAGAGAAAGAACCCACTTCCTTGTTGTGGTTCACACACGCTTGAATAATAGGCAAAAACATCTCTTTTTTTAGCTCATTGTC